ACTCTTGAGCCACGATCGCAGTAGTAAGATGAGTGATGCATCACGTAAGATGTAAGATACTTCTAATGTTGTCTCCAGCTTAGTAATGAGTTGGTGTACAGTTGTAGCTCCTTTCATGATGACATCTGTGGGTGGTGGCTCTTGATGCGCTGACACCAGCCTCAGTCCATTCCCTATGAAACTCACCCAAGGTATTGAATCGACTTTTCTTGACAGTCTTGTGAAGACTGCAGTGATCCCCGTTGCCCTGTGCATCCTTTTCTGCCATATTTTCCCTTCAAGTCAACTATTTAATATACTTTTTACTTTCCTTGCAAGGAAAAGATGCCTATTATGTGGCTTAATTGAATTGAATTCAGTTTTATTTATATAACACCAAATCACAACAACAGTCGCCTCAAGGCGACAAAATGCATGGATGGTTAGGTGTTGATGATCATCACAGACTCATCACATTTATTCTAGTGGAGCTTGGGAGGATCTACCAGGAAGAAAGCATTAACAAAATTCCCTTTCTGAGAGTATCTCCCTCCAGAAAATGCTCTCCTTTTGTTTTTATTCTTCTTGTTACGGCACTTTCCATCTCAGTGTGCTCAGGGTCAAATCACAAACTTAACATACCTAAAACCCTGAAGCTTCACTAACATCCTTGAAACTCTGAAAACACCATGGTAATCTGGCTGTTAGTCCAGAAGGATGACATTGACATTTTCATCTCAGAGAAAAGTGACAAAAAACATGAAATCATGTTGGCGTTTTCTCAGTATAACTAAAAAAATAGTTTAGATGAGCAGTAAATCTCTTTGAATGTCAGGTATTTGTTCAACATAACTTCTGTTTGGTCAAATGTTGTTAGTCCAATTTTATTTAAAAAAAAAAATAGGCAAACAGAGGGATGGTAAATGGTTTGGTCACCATCACAGCAGTGCAAATGAGTGCAAATCTGAATCTCATGACACCCCAAATATTTCACCTTTAACGTGTGTGTGCAGGCAGGCTGGGGTACTTGCATGGGTGAAGTCTATTTACATGCAAATAGACTTCCAGTGAAATATTTATGTATATATGAATAGAAGTTCATGCTATGGCTGCTTAAATCTGAAACATTTTAAACTCAAAACGCACTGAGAGCAATATCACACACAGTCTTTACCTAAAGCAGTGGTGCAGTAGCCATGCACTAACTGAGAGAGCGTTTTTTAAAGTGACAGATTCAAAATAAACACCTCGGGCCACAGTTGCAGCTGCTGGCTTCTCAGTCAGGGTCAGACGAAGGAAGCAGCTGCAGTGTTTATCTTTTTTTTAGATGCTGCTGAGCTCCAGGGATGAGGGAGGAAGTCTCCATGTACACCTGTAAATCAGTTTCCATGTAGTTCATTTTCCCAACAAACAGGAAAAGCACATTAAGCCATTAAGTTATCATTGCCTGCAAAAAACAAACAAACAAACATGTTGTTGATGTTGTGATAACAAATGAAAGCAAATTCATATCAAATCCCATCATAAAAACTGTGAACCTTGAGGGAAATCTTACAAAAGCTGCTAGATACTGCCGACATGATCTGCCCTCAAACTAGCTGTCCATCTATCTACAAGCTCTACTATTGTTTTTATTCAGCTGGTTTTAAAGGTTTAAGATTCATGTGGCAAAGGCAGATGTGTTTGAGATATCTGGTTCCATAAGCACTTGACTGTACATACAAGCACTGACACTGTTATTAGCTAACTGGTGCTGAGGAATACGATGTAACAGGATAGATCACCATTAAAAACAGAGAGGTAACGCTTATCTTGCTGACTTAAAAGTGCCAAGCCCCTCACAAACCGTAGCCTAATCTAATTCTGATTATAACTCAAAAACCATCTCCTAACCAGACAGTACAAACAATGGATGCAACCACCCAGTGGTTAGGAAAAAGCCAAATGTTTTCTTTGACACCATCTTCATATTTTATTACCCAACAGGCTAAGCGAGGTCTGACTGCATGATCAGTGGCCAAAGACTTGAGACTGATAAGATGTTAGCTAATGAACGCAAGTTAAATAATCCTCCTTTCTGACTCTAAGAATAAGAACAATTTACAAATTGCATATCCGGCCCCCAAAAAGAAGGAAGTTTTGAAGAAAACCTTTAGATTTAACTTCAAACACACTGCCATCAGCTATAACTATTAGTTTACTGGGCGGAAAATAAATGAGAGCAACCAAAAGGATGAATAAATCAAAACATTATGGAACCAAACTGCAGCTTTAGAGTATAACTATAGTGATACAATGATATCACCTAATGCTGAAACTTTTCAGCTGGGATGAAATTAAATTCCTATTTAAATAAAAAAAAATCACACTGACTCATTCTTGAGGTGCAAACTGGTACTAGAGCCTGATCTGAGTCCAACTTCAATTCAATTCAATTTTATTTATATAGCGCCAAATCACAACAAAAGTCGCCTCAAGGCACTTCATAGGTACAGAGAAAAACCCAACAATCATATGACCCCCTATGAGCAAGCACTTTGGCGACAGTGGGAAGGAAAAACTCCTTTTAACAGGAAGAAACCTCCGGCAGAACCAGGCTCAGGGAGGGGCGGGCCATCTGCTGCGACCGGTTGGGGTGAGAGAAGGAAGACAGGATAAAGACATGCTGTGGAAGAGAGACAGAGATTAATAACAGATATGATTCAATGCAGAGAGGTCTATTAACACATAGTGAGTGAGAAAGGTGACTGGAAAGGAAAAACTCAATGCATCATGGGAATCCCCGGCAGCCTACGTCTATTGCAGCATAACTAAGGGAGGATTCAGGGTCACCTGGTCCAGCCCTAACTATATGCTTTAGCAAAAAGGAAAGTTTTAAGCCTAATCTTAAAAGTAGAGATAGTGTCTGTCTCCTGAATCCAAACTGGAAGCTGGTTCCACAGAAGAGGGGCCTGAAAACTCATGGCTACTGAACGGACTCACGCGCAGACAGTTCTTTTCAAGGAAACACAAAAGGGGATTTATTTACAATGGGGATCACCTTAGTGCAAAATATATGTACAGTGAGTTGGGAGGGGGTCCAGGGCTCCAGGGAGAGAAGGGGGGGGGGAATCCACACACGCGCTTCCTTTTCCACTCAGTCACCGCCACCGCTCCTCCGCACACACGCACTCCTCTTCAGCCGCACTCGCTCCCACACTCCACACACTGCCCCACTTGGACAGGTCCGGTGATTTGGTCCAGAATCTACAGACAAGAAGTGCACGGTTAGTTCCACAACAGGAAAAACAAACAAAACTTCTTCGAATAAGCCGCGAGCACGAACTCAGGTAGTTTAACGTTCCAGCGGTGAGCTGCTCTGTGCCACTGCCTTAAATAGCAGCTGGGGAAATCAGCCCGATCAGCCGCAGGTGGACATCATCACACGGGTGCGTGGGCCAAGAGCGAGAGCCCGTAATGAGCTCCACCCAGGCAGAGAGGAGGAGGAGAGAAAGAAAACCAAAATGAACAACAACAAAACCTGTAGCCAGCGTGGGCCAGCCAGAGAGACACGGGGACCGTGACAAAAACTGAAGGCTCTCCCTCCTATTCTACTTTTAAATACTCTAGGAACAACAAGTAGGCCTGCAGAGCGAGAGCGAAGTGCTCTAATAGGGTGATATGGTACTACAAGGTCATTAAGATAAGATGGGGCCTGATTATTTAAGACCTTGTATGTGAGGAGCAGGATTTTGAATTCAATTCTGGATTTAACAGGAAGCCAATGAAGGGAAGCCAAAACAGGAGAAATATGCTCTCTCTTTCTAGTCCCTGTCAGGACTCTTGCTGCAGCATTTTGGATTAGCTGAAGGCTTTTCAGCGAGTTTTGGACATCCTGATAATAATGAATTACAGTCGTCCAGCCTGGAAGTAATAAATGCATGAACTAGTTTTTCAGCGTCACTCTGAGACAGGATATTTCTAACTTTAGAGATGTTGCGCAAATGGAAGAAAGCAGTCTTACATATTTGTTTAATATGTGCGTTGAAGGACATGTCCTGGTCAAAAATGACTCCAAGGTTCCTCACAGCGTTACTGGAGGCCAAGGTAATGCCATCCAGAGTAAGAATCTGGTTAGATACCATATTTCTAAGATTTTCAGGGCCGAGTACAATAACCTCAGTTTTATCTGAATTAAGAAGCAGAAAGTTAGCGGCCATCCAGGTCTTTATGTCTTTAAGACATTCCTGCAGTTTAACTAATTGGTGTGTGTTACCTGGCTTCGTGGATAGAGTTGCGTGCCATCTGCATAGCAGTGAAAATGTATGCTATGTTTTCTAATGATGCTGCCTAGGGGAATAATGTAAACAGAAGTGGTCCTAGCACTGAACCCTGTGGTTCTGTTGATATCTAATAAAACCCAGGAAACAGGTGCTTTGGACATAAATTGACTGCAGTTTTTCTTTGCCTTTGGTTACAGTAAAAACAAAGAGGCAATTTTACAAGAAAACAATTGTCAAATTTACAACAACAAAAAAAACATTATTGTGAGAAAATTTTAAAATATGAAAAATGAAAAAAGCCAATTTGCCAGACAAATCTGGAAAAAAAATGCTAATTTATGTAGAAGAATGCAAGATTACAAGAAAAAAAAGCCAATTTGTGAGAAGAAAGAGGACAAATTCATTTAAAAAATGGTATATTTATAAGTAAAAAAAAAAAAAAGCTGGGTACAAGGAAAGGGTAATTGCATATTAATAAGAAAACAAAAGCAAATTGATGAGAAACTATGTCACATTTATGAGAAAATATCTGGTAAAAATAGAAGAAGAAAGTTGTCTTTTCTTAACTTTGAAAGAATTAGAGCTCTGTTTTAAACACTGGCCATTATAATTTATCTGTCACTTATTATTTAAGTGAAAGAAACTTAACTTAAACGTCTCCAAAGTTACACGGTGCTAAAATCGTGGTTAGTACGAGGAGTGTGTGTGCGTGTGCCATTTGTGTTGTTGTTCTGACGCTTTGGGGTGAAACAGAAACTCGCGGCTCAGCAGGTTTATGTCACAAGCCGATACAGGAAGTCCCCCGGCAACTACTAGCCAGCTAAACCACAGCCATGATGGAACAGCTTATGGGGTAGAAAGTGTCGTCGTGCCGTAAAGAAGTGATTTCATGTTGTCTGGATAGGTAAAAACGAGTGGTAACAAGATGGAAGGAACTGTCGCAGTCGTATTTTTGTCGCTCCTTTGTTTAGCGTCGGAGGTAAGTTGGTGAATGTCGATAACTAGCTGTTGACGGGCCTGATAGCCATACTTACCGACGAAAAAAACGGTCAGCTGTGACTGTTAACGTTTTGAATAAATGTTGAGCATGTAGTCGGCAGACAGTGTTAGTCTCTATCTCAGGGATTGTGTTTTCTTGTAATACAACCGTTCAAACTGGGGTTAATTGTTAGCTCTCGTGTTCATTTCAGTTAGCCTCAGTGCGCTACGACACGGAAAACTGTTTTACTGCTCTGCTGTTAGGGTAAGGTTGTTTTAAAGAAAGCTGAAATGAAGATAGATATAACTGTGCTGGCCGTTTTAATCTAATTTTACCGAAACCATGGAACTTGAAGACGGTGATTTCCGCGACGTCACCAACAAGGAAGTGTTTACGTTTGGGTGAGCAGATCACAGCGCGGGTGTTCATGTGGGACTCTATACTAAAGCTGACAAGTGGCATGAAACTTTGAGATATCTAACTTTGAGAGTACAAAATAAAGTTTACGGATTACTGTGACAGCGATAATAAAATAAAGTGATTAATAAGTGGCTGGGCTAAAATCCAAGTCCCCCCTCTTTAAAAAAAAATGTATAAAACTTTTAAAGGAAAAAAAATCATGAGATCTATGCCCCAATGTATGAGCTAAATTTATGAGAAAATAATGTAAAATGTATGAGGAAAAAAACTTTCTGATAAATGTCAAATTTATGGGAAAAAGGACAGAAATTTTTTTTGGGGGGGGGAGAACAGAAAATATGAGAATTAAACTGGTAACTTTATAAGAGGAAAAGTGGCAGATTTACAAGAAAAGCTGGCAAGTTTTCCTTCATTCATGTGTCCTATATAATATTAAAATATTTGTATATCCTAACATACATGGGCTGTTGGGCTGTTGTTGTTGAGATTTGATGGTGATAGTGTTGGAATGTATTTAACCTAGTTACTTTTAATTAATTATCCTATTTCATTAATAGGATGCTGTAGCATAAACTAACCCAATAAGCATTAGCAGATTTATAGTATCATCTAGTAGGTTGTAGATCTCAACACAGATGATGTAAGCATTGATGGGTTTTGTTTGTGTTTGTTCGGAAATGGAAAAGCGATGAACAAGATCCATTAGCTGGGGGAAAAAAATTGTTGTTCTTAACTCTCCAAATGCATCTGTGTGGGCAAATGCTTGAAGTACTCTTCATAAAAAATAGATTATTGCACTTATGAATAGTTCAGAGCATAATGTGATTTTGATACCATTTGATACCATATTTTGTATTTATTTGTATTTGTCCCTTGGCTCAGTGTGAATGATTTATGACAAGGTACTCAGTGAGCCTTAAGTGTGTTGAACATGGATAACATTTTACTGTCAAAGCAAGGCTGGGTTCAGATATTTTCCATATGTAGTGTATCAAAGGGGTACTGTTTCTTTCTCAATAGATAAATGGCCAGGAAGCGATCTCGCATATTTCAAATGGAGATACTGAGAGGGAGTTCTGCATTGTTCACAATCACTCTTGGACCCCACTGGCACAGTCACTGAATTCTGCAGTAAGTTTTTCTATTTTACAGCTCTTTTGGTTTTGACACCTTTCCAAACACTGTCTTACTGTAAGTGTTAATGGACTTTTTCAGATGGAGTACCAGTTGGTGAATATGACTTCCTCTCTGCTGTGTGACAGCTCAGGGATCAATGCATCTTCAGTAATGGGCAAGGCTCTGGTGGTGATGAGGGGCAACTGTGATTTCAGCCAGAAGGCCCTTATCGCTCAGGGACTTGGAGCGATGGCTTTGCTCATTGCCAGCAATAAAACGCTGGTAAGATGTTAGCTTGATTAAGCTGATTTGAGATCTTCCTTTAATTTTTTTTTATGGTTAGTTATTATTTCCTCTTTGCTGCTTTTGGGTGATCAGAGAAGTGCGCTAGACAAAGGCGTGATTCAGGAAATGATACAGATGTGGTGTTTCTGTGGGGATTTCCATCTAAAAATGCTTTATTGCCTTATGAAATAGTTTGGTGTCATTGTAATTCATTCATCTGTTAACTAGACAATTTGAAATTTTATTGATTAATTTTAAATTATGACATGAATCTGCTTTATGTCTTCACAAACAAATGCCTCATATTAGAGTTGCTGTTACACGGCCGACACCCAAGAGCATACATGTGTCGTTCACTTAAATTTAACTGAAGTCAAATTTTAATAACATTCATTTAATCAGGAGCTCCCAGTGAGATCTAATCCCTTTCACACGCAGGACCTGCCCAAGTTTGCACCCATACAAATTTAAAATATGTAAAAAATGCAGTGTAAAAACAAGAAGAACAGCCCTGTCTCCTTTACTAAATACCTTATAATGCTTTCATATTTAACAATAGATCCATCCATCCATCCATTCGCTTCCGCTTATCCTTTTCAGGGTCGCGAGGGGCACTGGAGCCTATCCCAGCTGTCATAGGGCGAGAGGGGGGGTATACCCTGGACAGGTCGCCAGTCTGTCGTAGGGCCAACACACAGGGACAGAGAACCATTCGCACTCACATTCACTCGCACATTCCCACCTATGGGCAATTTGGATTAAACAGTTAACCTATCCCCACAAGCTGCATGTCTTTGAACTGTGGGAGGAAGCCGGAGTAAAACCACGCAAAGTCGGGGAGAAAATGCAAACTCCACACAGAAAGACTGCTGTGCGGCAACAGTATATTTATGTTTAGATCTTCCTGCAAATGTCCAAGGTGACTAGTAACAGAAGAAGTAAACTGTAAGCTTACCCAGTGTTGCTTTATTGAAAAATATACGCCAGTGTTGCATCCTGTGATCGGTGATCACCAATCCACCAAATCATAAAGAGTGCATTGAGTCTCAAGACCACTAATACACATCTGCCCTGTACTTCTGTCCCTGCACGAACACTTTCACAACAAAAGCAAGCGGTAAAACTGATACTTCTACCACCTCACAAAAAATTAAATTCTATGCAGTTTAATTGATCTAGAGTCAATTTATTTTAAAAAAGTCTCATCTCGAAGTGTTTTTTGTTTGTTTTATTGTTGCTCTATTATACTTGAAACATTCCCAAATCACTGATAATATTTATAAAAATGTCTTCAGACAATCCCATCAGCCAACGAGTCGGAGTACGCGAAGGTCAATATTTCTCTCGCTCTCATGAGGTACAGGGATTTCCTGGAAGCTTGGCAGGTCAGAGAACTTTTTATTTTTAATAAATCCTTTAATATGTCTTGTTTGAATCTGATGACCATTTTTAACTCTTTACATGCGTCCTCAGGTCTTCGGGAATGAGATGCAGGTGAAGCTGTATGCTCCACCTTCCACAAAGATCGATCCAAGCATTGCAGTCATCCTGCTGATTTCCATTGGCACAGTTGTTTTGGGCGGCTACTGGAGCGGGGCGTGTGAGAGGTGAGATTTTTCAGTATTATACAGCTGTGAGCTGAAAACTCGTGTCTGTAATGATGTCTCATTAAAAATAAACCAAACATAGCAGAAAACACATTGATTTATTTATTTATTTTTCATATGCAGTCAAAATATCATTAACTGTGTAATGTCAATTGGTGATAATGATGTGAGCAAGTGACATTTAAATGTACTCTTGCTGAGATCGTATGTATTGCATTGCTTCACATTTCATTCTGCCTGATGTTGTTTTGTTTCTTCTAATTCAAACACAGTTCAAAGAGGGTTTTTTTGTTTATGTGTTTCAGGGAACGGTTGAATAGCGGTGCGTCTGGAGGAGGAGGAGGAGGAGGAGGAGGAGGAGGAGGAGAAAGCAAAGCAGACAGTGGAGAGCTTTCACTGTACTCTCCTCTCAAAGTGGTTATCTTTGTTGCCTTGATGTGCGGGATGCTCGTCCTCATGTACTTCTTCTACAAAGTTCTCGGTTAGGGTTTTGTTGTTGTTGTTTTTTTGTTTTTTTTAAATCAGTTCCTGGTTGTTTAACAGAGTAATTTTACCTCGAGTTTTGGTGATATGATCTATTTATTTATTTTTCTCCAGTTTACGTCATTATTGTTATCTTCTGCCTGGCATCTGCCTCTGCGCTCTATAGCTGTTTTGATGCAGTGATGGACAAAATCGGTTGCGGCACTTTAAGGTATGAGCCTCAGACTTTGGAACCACATTAAATATACACCACATCATTGTAGTTAAAACATTAAATAGATATCAGACCTTTAGAGAGAGTTTTTACTATTGACTAGTTCCTGGCGACTAATTTTGAGTGAGATATTATTTTGTTTGTATTGAAAAACCTGGGGAAATTACTGCGTTAAAGTGACGAAAAGATAAAAATTAACGTATAGCAAATTGGTTGAATGTACGGTAGGTCAGTAAAATGAGGAGCTTAGCTCAGTTAAAAATGAATTGTGAATTTCTCCAGAAGTCACAGAGGGGGGATGCTGTTGTTGAGTGAGTGGTTCACACAAATGGTGAGGTAAAATAATCTAGGCAGAAGGGGGAAATTAAGTACTGCAAGATCCAAGTGATTCATGGATAGTAAAGGTCTGATTTGTGATGTGTTACTAACATTTAAAAAACTTTTTTTTTCTGTTTTTATATTAAAAAGACCAGTGGTTTAAAGCTTGAAAAGCTTCAAACAAACATCAGCGTCTCAGTGAATGTGTGCAAGAATTTTACTTGTTTTGTTTTTGTTTCTTTGTTTCTACCTAAATGTGGCTCTGTGTCTTTTTCCAGGTTCTCTGTCCGGAATTGGAACTTTTCAGTGAGGTCTCTCTTGTTGGCTGCTGTGTGCATTAGCATTTCTGTGGTCTGGGGAGTGTACAGAAATGAAGACAGGTACACATTCACAGTCCTGTCAGTTTTCAGACATGGTTACACCACTGTGGTGGTGAATTTCTACAACACTGTAGGTTAAAATTACCCAGAAAATTGTAACAATGTTTATGAGACAGTTTATCCTGAAATAGCAACATTTAAAGTAATGAAAACCCTAAAGTCAAAGAGGTCTTTATGTCTTGCAGATGGATCTGGATTCTGCAGGACCTCCTTGGCATTGCTTTCTGCCTCAACTTCATGAAGACAATTTCACTGTCCAATTTCAAGGTATTTTTTTCTTGTACAATGAATACTTGCACTGTAGTTGTTCTATTTATAGAAATATATATTTGTTCATATTTATCAACACTTCCTGTAAGAATGTCAGGCAGTGCTCCATTCCTAAGAATTTTTGTTTTTTTCCAGTCTTTGATATTTGATTAAAAATGTTATCACACCACAAAGCTTCTAGCAGATTTCCTCACATGGAGTTTTGAGCCATGTAGTTGGTGATAATTTTTTCTTTCCAATGTCTCGAAGATCTGTGTGATTCTTCTGAGCCTCCTGCTTGTATATGATGTCTTCTTTGTTTTCATCACTCCTTTCTTCACTAAGGTATGTTTATCTTTATTTTTGTTTTTTATCTGTATCTTGTTGCTAAAGCAGTAATGTTGTTATTGATTTTTTAAAAAAATGAAGTTTTTGCTATTTCTCTGCATTTGCTGCTCTTATTGCCTCAAGGTCTGACACATTTGAGAATCCACTCATCAAATATTAGTTATACACTGAATTAGTTATTATTTTTTAATATGAAGTGAACCCTGCACACAAATTGATATGTACACCTTAAATGTTTTTGTCTATTAGCAAGTTTGTGCACAAACTACAAAAATATCACCCTAATTTAATAAAAATTAATGTAGATGTGTGGCATGGAAAAGGGAATACTTTCTTATAGTTGAACCTTTATTTAACCAGGAGCGTATAAGCTGAGAAAGCCAAAAGTAAGTTTACTAATAAAACAAACAAGAAATTCCACAAAATAAGTTTATACATATAAAAAAGTCAGATGCAGAAACATCTAAAAACGTCAGAGCTAAAACATTTAAAACGTCAGAATAGAGTCGTCTCAGGCAAAGAAGTAGCCATAAGGTTTATATATAACATTGGCAGCCATAAGAACACTTAAAAATGACTTAAATTTATTTAGTTTGACTACCTCTGTGAAATTCTGTTGTGGATCTGATCTGAGGCAGAAGGAGCTGTGAATTTCAGCTGTACTGAATTGAGGCAAAGTCTAGTTGTACTAGTTAGATCACTGGATGCCATGCCTGGATATAGATAAGTGAATCTTTACGGTTCAGGAATGCTTGAGCACAGTAGTGTGAGTGGTTCACAGGCCTGAGCATAGATTTTCACTTTTTCCTCAATGACAAGCTGATGCTCTGCAGGAGTGCTTTTCAACAGCAAGAGTCTACGAAAGAGGGTGAGCAAACAAACTGAAGTTTACTCCGGTTTATATGAGCACAAACCATAAGGGGAGTGGGGATGTATAACAGTCGTGCTCAGGCGAGGCAACTATGTCTAGTGTGAGTACACTCTGTCTAAATTTTGGTTTAGATCTAGATCGCTTAGACAACATGAGATGAGGCATTAGCTTTTGCACTCTCTGAGGGCCTTTCTAACTGAGGATATTTTGCTCTGGTGTTTTAGTATGATGTTATTTCATTTTCATTAAGTAATTTGATATGAATGCTTGGCATCTCCCCCTTTGCCACAGAATGGAGTAAGCATCATGGTGCAGGTTGCCCTGGGCCCAGATGCATCTGGAGAGAAGGTAAGCTTCCTGCATTGTTTCCCATCTTGAAGGGGAACTCCACCAAACTGTTTTTAGGGCTATTGTTAATTTGGAAAAAACCCCAATTTTTTTCTTCACAGCTGGCTTTATCCATATCCAAGTCTGACTGTACTGATGTGAATGCAAAATCTCTTTCACATTATGAGAGAATTTCTTCAAACACGCGCCATAAAGACTAGAAGGTCACTTAGAATTTAATTTTTTTTTTATATTTCCCATCCATGGAGCCAGACTTGTCTTTTAAACTGGTCTTGAGCAAAAATTCTCCAGGGTTTCTAAAGGTCTGCCAAAGTTTTTCTTTGGCCATTGGCTGATTTTTTTTTCACTCGTTTTCAGGGGAATGTTTATTAGGCTACTTAACACTGACCGATGAATAATTCAAAGCTAAAAAAAGATGAGCCTCTGTTGTGTCTACGCTTAACAGACAGCTTAGAAAAAAGGCTGTTGGAAATAAAGTTATTAGCTAAAAACCATATCTTAGCATGGTGTGCAGAGCGTCCTTAAAAATATTAAGGAAGCTGAACAAGTGGAGAAGAAAAGAAGAAGTAACAGACTAAAAATATCTACCCTCATCAGATACAGTAACTGTCTAGAAGCAATTCTTAAGAAACAGGAGAAAATGAGACGAAGCTGAGGTATGCCAAATTCACAAGTGCTGGACTGAAAATCAGTGGCAACAGGTCCCATTGGGTGTTAAATCCAAATGATCAAAATGTACAAAGGAGGGAGGGACAATAGTGAATGTCTGCAGCCATCTGTAAAAGGTGGCAGAGTTTCTGTCAGCGTTTGGGGCTGGAGCAGCTTCATATTTCAGCACGAGAATGATCCCAGCAAACACACTTCCAACACAGTAAAAGCACACCTGGATAGAAAAAACACACAGTGGAACACTATTAGTCATCGATTGGTGTCCCCAGAGCCCAGACCTCAAAATTATTGAGGTAATGTGTCATCTTAACAGAGAACAAAAGAAAAGGCAGCCAATACCCAAAGAAAAGCTTTTTGTCTTGTTCAAGAAGCCTAAGAGTCCTGGTTCAACCATCATGGAATCACTTCAACCATATTTTTTTCATTTTCCTAGCAAAATATAAAAACATGAGGGCCAACTCAAGACTTTTCACACTACTGTATACATAAGAATTCACAGCCTAATTAAGGCAACATTTTATGTCTAATGGACAAACTAATCTGCATTGTAACTCTTCTTTTAATACTCAGATTCACTTGTATAAATTTGGGTTCAGAAAGTGGGTTTAAAAAAAAAAAAAAAATCACTCTTTACCAGAGTCACAAACGGAGCACTATAAGATGGGCTTGGTGGAACTCCCTTACACGTTTGTTATGGCTTCATTAACAACCCAGCTGACATGAACTGCTTGTTGTAGATGCCCTGAGGGGAACAATAGACTAACTGTGCACTGGGGTTGGGCGGGTTCTGTCTTAGACACAAGGTGTGGAGATCCCCGCTGAACCCCAGCCTCCCTCTGAGAAAGTAAGGCTTGACTTGTTACCCATCCACTACTTTTTCCTTTTTTGTTTGGTTTTGTTTTTGTTGTAATGATAGCTGAGGTGGGTAGAGAGGTACGGTGGCGGTTGATGTTTTAGTCTGTGAAAGAACTAATTTTACGTTTTGATTGGGTAAATGTGTACATATGTTAAAATGTGTACATATATACATATGTTAAAATGATAAAAGGTTTATATACGTGTATCAATATGCATGTCTGTCATGCATGTCCAGAAGGTGGTTAAGAAGAAACTAATATGATTAAAAATATCTTTTTGGCACGAGAAAGATGTGGGTTTTTTTGTTTGTTTGCAGCAAGTAATGTTGTGAGCTAGTTATGTGCACACGCATGTTTTTGTTACAGGATATTAATAAAAAAGGTGCATGGTGATGGGTGCTTATAAGTTACCACATTTTCCAGCAATATTGCTTAAGAAAGATTAGAGCGGCAGTTTTACAGCTCATTAATTAATCAGGAATGCATTATTTTCATACTCCTTGAGACAAATTGTTTTGTATTCTTATTGATTTGTGTAAAAATTGCCTACACACATGGTGACTAACTTTTTTTTTTTTTCTTTGGTTTTTATTTTACTAAATTCCTGAGTGGGTTTGCTTGTTCTCGATCTTATTGTGGAAAAAATAAAAGTGGGAGGTAAGATTTAAGAAGTTCAGTTCAGGTATTACAAAAACACAATACAGACAACAATAAATGATAGCAGTCCTTTTGTTTAGAGCTTTGTTCTTTATTTCTACGCAGACCGGATGGATTCTGAAATATGGAAATGAAAGCTTTAGCTGGAAATGTCTGTGTATCAGAAAATATGCAAAGTAATCTACAGCAGTGTAGAAAAGTGTACCTGCTATAGGTTGGATTCAAGTAAAGCTAAGGGACGGCCGTCAGGTTAGGTGGAACACAAAGACACTGAACAAGATTTCTGCTGTTGGCCTTTTTGTCATTTTTAGCATCTGTAATGCTTCATTTTCTCAGCTTCCTGTGGTGATGCGTGTCCCGCGTCTCTTAGCTTGGGCTCAGAACCTGTGTATGATGCAGTTCTCCATCCTGGGCTATGGCGACATCATTGTCCCAGGTAAGGATATAGACGCTCTCACGGTTCACCTTTACACCACTGCTTATATGTGTGAGCATTTCTGTGTACAAACATTAGTTAGACATATGAAGCAATTCTTAACAATGTGTTAGATTTTGTTTTTAATACAAATAAAGGTTGTTGTTTTGTTTGTTTGTTTTTTAAATATCTAGTCTATTTCTTTGATTCAAAAACGCAAAGAACAAAATAGGAAAACTAATTTAAAATTGCAACTTGATAGCAAAATGTTAGGGTGCTTACTCAATAAATGCAGAGTCTGTGGTTTGAGTTTAGCCAGACTCTTCTTTAGATTTCATGTCTTCGGTTAGTCTCTTTACACCATTAACTGTAAATAGGGGGGGAAATGAATGAGTCACTAACCCATACATACAGGATTTCATACTGGATGATGTATGTGTAATGATGAGTGGCTCTCACCCTGCGTTGTTGTTGGACCCACAGGTCTTTTGGTTGCCTACTGCAGCAGGTTTGATGTTTGGATCAAGAGCAAGAGGAAAGTCTACTTCGTCAGTTGCTGCATAGGTATCACACATCTGTTATCATTTTGTTGGGTCTGTCATTAATTTTCATGGATTTAAAAAACAAACAAACACACACACAATGTCTTGTGTAAAGTCATTGAATTTTGTGAAAAGGGGGAAAATATTCAGATCGGGGTTTGATTTTTGCCAAACCCCGATCTGTTTGAGTGAATTGCTGGTTTAAACGTACACTATTTCTTTTCTTTTCTTATTTTCTTATCATATTGCATGTGATCAGTCATTTGTATTGACTGCCAGGACTGAACTCACGTTCTTCATATTGAACTTCATGCAATGTCACGCAAATGCTTATGAGCTCTTTTTAGTTTTATTACTCATAAAATGCGGTCTGATCTTCTTCTATGTCAACATGACTTAACTGATAACACGAGAACATTTGTACATTTCATGTCTTTATTACACAAACTGAGAAATCATTCACAGTGCAGGCTGGAAAAGGCAAGTGAACTCTCGACTTACATGACTTGTAGAACCTCTTTCAGTCACAACGGTCTCCATTAGAAATTCTCAGAATTGCAAAATGGTTTTTTTTCCCTTTGTTTCTTTTTTTTCCTGGATTTTTAATGCTGTGTTGTACCAATGCAAACACACTACCTCATTCACTTGGTCTCTATTATCTCTTTGTTATACATACATATAAGCGCACAAAACAAAAAATAATATTGCATAGCAGTAATCTATAATATTTAATAGCATGATAATGGGACTGTGTGAATGCATATTTCCAACATTTAAGTGGTAATGTTTTTTCAATAATGTTTACAAAAAGCCCAGACTCACCCAATACCACTGCATCTTACTGACCTTGTTCTCAACAGAGTCAGTGACAACCTTGCTCAAATCCAAAGTCCTGTTGGTATACTCATCATGTTCTTCTCTCTCCTTCCTCTTTAAAATTGGCATACCAAACATAATTTATTGTGTCGCTGCACTTACGAAGTATTTTATAAGAACACTTGCAAACAGACCATGATGTTCCTTTCACCGTGTTCTGCAGCTTGGATGACATTTACGTGTTGGTGTGCAATGCCTTGTACCTCCAAACAAGATTTTTTTTTTTTTTTTAAAGCTTAAAATGGTTCAATAGTTGGCCACAGAGCATTGTCTAAAAGTGGACTTTTGCAATCTTCATCCCACAGTCTGAAGATATGATTTTAGGCGAATGATGATCCTAAATTGGTCGTGGTGTGAATTTGAGCATGAGCCCCACAGCAAACTGACTATCTGTCGAGTCTCCAGCCCTCCAGCTCCTGAACTGGATAAGTGGAATAGAAGGCCTTTAGAAATACTTTACAGGCTTTTCCAGCTCATTACATCTCTGTAATTTATCTTTTGAACATTGTTGACATTGAAGTATAATTCAAACCGAGTAATCTCTCAAGGATAACTTTATTTAAAAAAAAAAAAAAATTTACAACCCTTACTTCAAATGTCATCTTCTTAATTGGAGCACATGAGTCAAAGACAAGTCGTTAGCACAACTTTTTCCAGCTTGAACTGTTGATAACTACCTAGTTTTACTATTGAATACATGAATATAGCTTTTATGCATCATTTTGTTTGTTACCATTTTTATGACCTGCAAGTTCAATTCTCTGTACTTTCAAAGGGTTCACTTGTATTTAGCTGCAGTTTTACTTTTTAGTCTTCGAGGTTTATTAGCTGATGTAGTAATAAAGTTTTATTTACAAGTGCACTGAATTAGCTTTTTACTGAGTCTCTTTTTACACTTGTCAACTGAAAGGCTGCCATATAAAGCCAGGTGTAAGCTTTAAGTTTACCATATCTCTTTCCTTCTTCATATTTCTTTTTAGCCTATTTCCTGGGAATGATACTGACATTCATCGTGATGTTGCTGTCAGGAATGGGACAGCCTGCTCTGCTCTACTTAGTGCCCTTCACTGTGATAACTTCTGCTGTGGTAGCAGGCTGCAGGGGTGAGATGAAGCACTTCTGGGCTGGAACCACATACCAGGTGAGAGGAGGAGAGGGAGAATTGTATTGGTGTTTTTCTATTATTCCAAAAAACGTCATTCCTCTTGTAGCTGTCATATTTGACTGTCAATACCGGTTCATTAAAAAAAAAAAATCTGTCAACAGTTTGCTCTTTTTAAATCCAGAGGACGGAATAAGAAGTGTAGTCACAGACTACGTGATTATTAATAATTTACCTTACTAATATGGAAATCCTGACATGCTTTAGTTGTAGGCTGTCTTTGTTTACCATAATGAAATGACAATCCGTTAAAAAAGGAGGAAAAGGGAAAGATCGCTTGTTAGTTTTCCTATGTGTTCCTGTGTTAGCTGGAGTTCTTGGAAGAAAACTTGACTGTTTGCTTGCTGGATTCTTGCAGAGCGAGTTTTTCTTGACTGGTAGCTGTTTTAAAACAAACAGAAAAATCTTGTTTGCTGTCAGCTGGAGTTCCATAGCATGCATCATTTCTAATTTGCCTGTCAGCGGTTCAAGTCAGCTGTGGAAAAAAACTGGTCTCACCTGACACTGCAGGCTGTTCAAAAAAAGTGCTTATATTATATTGAATTGCATGCTGGCCTCAAAGAATGCTGTTTATTCCAGGCTATTTTCCCTGTTGTCTAACTGTTTCCTGACCTTAAAAATACGTGACCCCCGTTGTGACTGAGAATGGTTTTAACTGGAACGGCTGCTGGCTTAAATAATGGTAAATGTGAAAACAATGATGATTATCTTTGCATGGATTTCTGTAAACTCTGACCTAATATACAATCCAAAAAACATGCATATTAGGTTAAATCTAAGTTGGGAATATTTGTAGATATGAGTGTAAATGTTTGTCCGTCCTTATGTTTTAGCCCTGTGATAGAACTCTCCAAGCTGTTCCCCGTCCCTCACCATGAACAGGCTCCAACCATTTGGTGACCCTGAATTGGAAAAGCAACTAGAAAATGGATTTATAGACATGATGTCTATAAATTCTGTTTTCCAGACATGACACTTGGAAATTTGCGGAATACTGTAGCAGTGTTATTCAGCTACCTCTCCTGTTAATCTCGGTGATATTAGACTAGATAAACCACATGTCCAGCAGTTCTGATCCAACTTTAAGGTTCATTCTGACTAAAATCTGTAACAGCTGGAGATGGTGTACCAAGCAAAAAGTATTTACAATATACTGAGAAATACATAATAAACAGAGAATTAAAAAGAATGACAGTAGAATCAAAATTAATGAAATGTTGGAGAGCAAGAATAAATTAAGCCTGCTTTTGAAGGAACAGAAGAAATACAACAGTTAAACTGGAAAGGATAATGAAACCAAGTGTGTTTTTAGTTGAGATTTGAGTACTTAATGAGGTTTACTCCTTGGTCTTAAATGGATCGTTTTTACAGTGAAAACCAGTCTCCTTCTTTGAACTATTAAAAGCTGTTGATCAACTGACCCAAGCATATGGCATGGCGCATAAAATGATAACAAATCTGATAGATAAGCCGATTGTAGCTTATCTAAGCTGATTGTTGCTTATAAGATGATTGTTGCTTGTGATAGACGGGACCATGCAATCCCTAAATATAGAAGCAACTCAGCAGGGTTCAAGGATGTTAGGAACTGGTTTTATCGTTTGTTTAATGTTTGAGCTTGTTAAATCAAAAGAATAAAACCAAGCATCTAAACTATACCTTTAGTTCTGAGATTGCCTTTATGATACAAAGACAGCCATCAGTCAAAAATATAACTTGAAATTTATTTCTCACACGAGAGAGGCTTATTATGTTTGAAAGGTTTAGGGAAATCCATGCAGCCAATATGAAAATATCTGTGGTTCTCACATTTGCCATCCAGACATTCAAAGTCATCACAAAACATTAAACTTGTAACACTCTGGCAAGGCTGGGTGAATGTGTGGGCGTGTGTGTGTGTACGTATGTCCATGAGAGTGAGACACGCACAAACTGTAAAAGAGAGACAATTCTGACCTGGCTTCATTTTCACCAGGTCTTGGACTCATCCAGGGAACCTTTGCTGCCAGGTGTGCTTCCCTCCAAACCCCAGACCTCTCCCCTGCAACGCTCCTGTCATTAATGTCACTTACTGCAGTGCCTTATTGTCTCTTATCAGCTTCTTTATCACCCTTTGTTTTGACATTTTAACTCCTGATTTCCAGGGTCAGTTTGATATTTAAAGACAAACTACATATTAACTCTTTTAAAATTCAAATACATTTTAGGACAGAAGTTTGAGTGTGAAATAATACATCATTTTAGCCATTAGGTGTCTCCAGTTGACTGAAAATAATCTTTGATGTATCTAAAATGACTCGCAGTGATATGATAAAGTGGACTTGTCTAAAAGCTGTGGCCCTGGAATGACATTAACTTATTTCCTTTTTTTTTTTTTTAGTTTTTTGTTTGTTTGTTTTTGTCCTTTTTTGTTTCCTTTTCCACTCTCTGCTCATTCCAGCTTTTTTTCAATGGACAGGATTTAATAACTGCCCCATCCTTCGTGCAGTTCCCAATGTGTTCATGTTGCCCTTTGCATGATTTTGCTTGCAGTTGACATGGGAGAGCTGTGGCATGAATTTTTGAATGCATTATCTCTGTTGTTTGTTATTAGTAGAACAAATCATATATGCAGCTTGCATTATAAATTCAAATGCTGCCTATGAGTCTGCCTTTCTTACTAAACTAAAAGATTAAAGTAAACATTAACATGTCTTTCCTTTTCTTTAGAGAAAAGAACTGACCGATCCGTAGACGGCGAAAGATGCTGACTTACAGTGTTGAATATGGACTCTCTTCTTTGTCTTTTTTAAAATCTCAATTTAATTTTACATTTGCAAAGCAAGGGAACACATGTTATTGATCAAATGATCCTTCAAGCAGTACATTTTGATTGATGTGAAAGGTAAATGAATGCTGTGTAGATGCAACTGAGATATTAAAGTGATTAAAAACACATGCTTAGCGCCTGAAAGTTCTGTCAGGTTCACTTTGAGAAAAACATAATGACAACATTGCCTTGGTGATGATTGAGAATAAGAACGCACTTTATAATATTCAGCTTGGCAGTTGTTACATCATTGGGAATGGGTTTTGGCTTTAAATTACTTGTAGCTATTTTGATAACTAGGGTTTGTGTGTAACCTGTTTGTAAGATGTGATTTCTTTCGTTGCCTTATATTAAATAAAAAAACAAATTGTATTTCATGTTCTTGTCTGTAGCTTTCTGATTTTTAATTTGTGACTTTTAAGTGAACAAAGTCTTCCTATAGGTGAAGTGCACAACAACCCCAGTTCTGTGTGTGCGTTTGTGTGTGTTAAATTCTTTAACAAGAATTTTAGAATATTCTTGTTAAAATGTAAGTTGCTTTTGTGGGGGAAAAAAAATAAGCCAGTATATATTTCACAGGTTTTTCCCACCTTTAAGATGACCTATAACCTATAACATTTCACACAGTGCTTGGGTTGTTTTTCTGAAAGGTAAAATTGCTCTTCCACGTCAGATTTTTAGCAAACAAGCATTTGCATTGCAATCTGCCTTTGTAAATGGACTGATTCTTATATAGCGCTTTTCTACTCTCCTGGAGTACTCAAAGCAAGTACAACATTCCACATTCACCCAGTCACACATGCACTTTCTTCTAGACTTCTGCATGCTTGCTAACTACATTGATACACATTCACACTCCGATTCACACAAAATAAAACAACGACTACATAACAGACTAACTCCACACTAAACCTCACAAATCTCTCACATCTTAAAACTCGCTATCGATATCTCTCTGTCTCTCTCTTTCACTTGCTCGTTCTGTCTCTCTGCCATCACTCCTAAAACCTTCCCCTATTCCTAAACAACCAAATCCCACGCGTTTACTTTTTTAAAAAGAATTGGTCGACATGCTACATTTTTCCACCAGTAGGAAAGAGGTGGCTATTTTTTTCTTTAGTGTTTTTGTGCTGTCCTTAGAAAATGCTTAAAAAAAACACACACACACACACACACACAAAATGAGATAATAGTATTTAGAAAAAATGCTTATATATATTTTTTAATCTTAACTCTGGATTTAGTGGTCTGTCATTAAAATTTAAAAACCGGTGTATACTTTGAAGTCTGAACTTTCAACACAGGCTGAAATAGAGACTCAGCGTGGCTGCAGCTTATTGGAGCTTAAAGTCATCTTAAATCAGTTATGTGATTTGGAGGTGCTGTGTGTCCGTGGACCCCAAAAGGTTAATAACACTCACCTTTATTCCATTTCCAGAGTGCACAAACCACCTGTGTGAAATAGGGCTGGGTATTATCACTGATTTCTACGATCGATTTGATTCCAATTCACAAGGTCCTGATTCGATTCGATCCACGATTTTGATTCAATTTGAATTGGGGAAATTTTGTCTCAGACAGTCAGAAATATTATAATTCTGATCATTTATAAGTACTGACACTTGTGAGACTTCATCAGAGGTGTAAGCATCACAGCAGATGCCAAAGTACCATGTCAAAGTGCCTGAGGATAAAACAGAAAAACATTAACGAGATTTTTCTGGCCTGGCTTTTTATAGCAGATATCCTTAAAAATATTCTGTAGTAGAACAAAAAAAGAAAACCATGCATCAACATATGAACATTACCTGATGCTGCTGAAGTGAAGCAGAGCAAAGTTACAGAGGTTTCATTAGAGACACAGCTAAGTGTTTTGCAATGTGCCATCATTTTAAAAAGTTGACATTTCTTCTATATTGAACAGCAGAAATGGCGCTTTCTTGTCGGAGGTCATTAAAAAAACACACAAAAAAACACTGGCCGACAGCGCTGTACACAATGGTAGACCGGTGGGTAATAAGAAAGCAAATAATGCAGAAAATTTTGATTTTTAGATGAGAAACTGTTCTTAAAGTACACTTAGAGAGAGCTGTGCAGGAAGTGTGATTTTATTGTGGTGGAAGCAAAACAGCAAAAGTAAGAGGAAATTATCAATATATTCAGTTTTAGAATTTATAATCACTTTTAACTGTAACTACGCTCAAAGTGCTTATGCTATCTTATTTTAATAAACAACACTGTCATATGCAAAACTAGAGTAGCACTTGTGGTGGCAAGAGATGATTTTAGGATGGTACATGCCACCCCATGCCACCCTTCTAGATCCACCCCTGCCCTGGACCC